TTTTGACTAATCTGTAAGACATCATGTGGTAAAAAGAGGATACAGAAACTCATTTGCCATCTAAGTTCTGACACAGCATATGCTCTTATGTACTGGTGGGTCTGTGCCTTAGATGCACAAAACTTGGAAAGATTTACATTAAAATCTCAGTTTTTTTCTGAGATGTGTGGTCCATGCAAGTTTGTAAACTCTATATTTTGTTTATTACAACCATGCATAGTATCAACATTTGATAAAATAACACAGCATCAACATAAAATTTAGACTGGTTGATCCAAAGTAGATGGAAACACAAGTTTTTTATTTTCCTTGTTTTTTCTTGTTGATATCTTTTACATGTTCGCTCCAAATTTGCATGACAATTGGGTGGAAACATTTGGTTGAAAGGTTGCGGTAATGTGTGATCGCTTTACAGTAACAGGACAACTCTCTTAATAACAAATGCTGTATTTTGTAATCTTGCTGCATGTAAAATATTATTTTTTATTTGTGTGTCAAGATGGACTTGAAATAATGTTTAAAATCAATAAAGAATAGCCAACTAATGAAAGATGTTACATCTCAAATCTCAAGAAATATTATATTTGCATGCAAAGTCCCTTTTAGCTGCAACATGTTTTTGTATTTTACTTACATTATGCTAATTTAAATAAATGTCTCTCACTCTCATTCCACAAATGTTCAACTAGTACATCAATATTAAGGGATTATTGACTCAAAACAAACTCCTATCTTATGCTGAAAAGTTGCTTGTGTTTTTTCTTATTTTAAGTATACAAATATACTTACACCCAAAACTAGAACAAAAATACTAGGTAAGATTTTGTGTTATTGCAGTGTCGTCCACCGAGGCGTTTTGCGCAGCTGATGATTAAATGGAAGTAAATTATCAGTATTTATATAGTAGCTTTTACAGGTAAAAACCACAAAATATATCTGAAGTTGAGCATAAATCTAAAAAAAATTATAAAAAAAATTAAAAGGACAATGACCAGAATAAATTATACAAATGCCAGATTTCAGGATGAAGTTTTATCAGCACTCTTGATATAATAGTTTCTTGGTCAAATGAAAGAACTACTGAGATTTGCAAGTTTACTTACAAAAAGTAACAAAAATAAAACTTGTCATTTTGGTAAAATCAAAGAAAAAAAACACATTTTTGATGCTTTATTTATTCACTCATTTTCACTAGTTGGATGTTTTAAACATCCCACACATATAAACAGATTTCAGAGCTTAACTTGGGAGTACACACTGTCCTCGGTCTCTTTTCTCTTCTTTCCTCTTGTAGCTTTCCCAGCACCGAAGTGTAAAGCTGCATAATTCAGATCCCGCCCATCTTCATTCTGTACAGCAAATGAAAAGCTCATTACAATGCACGCTGATAGAAGCTATTTCAGTAGCTGTTCACTTGAGTTTTTCCCTTGACTTACAATTAGATCGCCTTGCTGACTCAAGTTCCTCCATCTTTCTTCTGAAGAGGCGCTGTCTACTTCTAGTTACAGGGAAAGAAACAAGAATAATCTGAATCTGACTGAATCTGACTTTAAAGCTTTGTTTTTACACTCATTGACACTTTTAAGCAACGTTTAAAATGTGCTTTTCTGTCTAGAATCTGAAATTTGTCCCGCTTATTGTACATGATTATGTGATTACAAAAGTGTTATTGAGTGTTAAAGTTTAGTATTATAAATTGATCAAGGGGATGCGTGTACTATAGAGGGCTTAGCTAATGTTTCTGTTAGTTTTTAAATCCCATAATTTCAGTAACATTTACCTTTAAATTGTTTACATGCTGCTCTTGGAGCTCGGTAAAAGACAAAAACAGCATTTATAATCATGGAAATAATCAAACAGGTCACAGCTATCACTAGTACGGGAAATTCAGGGTCTGCCTCTCGCTCTGTGAAGGAAAGACAAAAGAAATTGTTGTTTCTGGGAAAGATTATGTTTGAAAATAGATTTTTCAATGGAAACCATAAAATCATACAACCTTCCAGCTTTGTTCCATTTCCAAATAATATCTCTCCACATGTGGCCACGGCACAGTAGTAAGTCCCAGCATCAGAGGAGCTGATGTTCTTAGAGGAATTATAAACCCATTTTGTCCGGTTATTGATTTTCCTCTGACATCTGTTAGTTCCGTTTCCATCTGTGTAGATGATATCCGGGTGAGATTTATCTGATCGGAACCAGAACACACTGGGATCTTCTGAACAAGTCTTGTTCTCAAAATCTGAGAGGATGGAGCACTGGAGAGTCACATAACCGTCTGGACCACTGGAATCTGATACCATCTTCTTCTGAACTACTCTGTAGTTTGACGTTCCCACAGTGTTTCCTGCAGATTATTGTACAAAATGTCAGAAAATGCAACATTTTTGACATATTCGAGATTTAGAATTATAAGAAAGCCTTGGAGATGGATAAAATATACAGCAAAACACTCACATTGCATCGAGTTCTCGCTAAACATCTTAGAGTTTGAGCTCTCAACCATTTCTCTTTTCGAATTAATGTGTGTCATGTTTCTTCTGAAGGCAACTCTCATTATTTAGCATAGAACAAATCCAGTTCAATTAAGTAAATAGCTAAATATTAACATAAAGTAAAAATGTAAAGTTTGGAAATCTAATAAACTAAATTATTGGGCCACCAGAGTATTGTGATTAATAAATGGAAACAGATCATCTCAAGCTCTTTCTCAATGACCAAAATATGGAATTTTAAAAATTACTGTTTTTACATTATTTTTTTTATCTTCAACACAAGATAAATTAGCTATTTTTATGTTTTTAGTTCAGTTGATTAAAATAAATGTTTCCTTTCACTAGTGTTGGCCAAATGTTGACATGAAATCTGTTTTATTGAAACTAGAATTTAGAAAAGAATGTATTATATGTATATTTTCTAATTTCTCTCTCTCAAAAGTCTTCTAGAGATTACTTCTAGCTTAGTGAAGTAAATAATACCAGACTGTAACGTAAAACTTAACTTACTTTTTTTTCACTTTAAAGACGGCATAAATATGCTCATTTTTATCACATTACTTTAACATTGCAAAAACAAACATAACTGATCCAAAATTTATGTATATTCTTGTATTAAAAATCTATAAATCTCTCATGCAGTTTTGTAAACGTTTTGATATAAAAAAGCTAAATATCTTTTAAAATACATTACCTTTTATTAACAAGTAGAGCCCCTGCCAAACATTTTGGTTCCAGTCAGTAAAGCCACAGTGATACATTCCTTCATCTTCTTGAGCTGCTTTTAAAATGGTCAGGTTGCTCACTTTGTCAGTAAGTTCAGCTTTTACTCTCGATTCAGAATAACCTGCTCCATACTCTGGGCTTGCAAGACTCACAAGCTTTACAATTACTTCCAGGGTATCTCCTGCAGTTTGCCTGTACCAAAAAAGTTTATTACGTCTGTCTTTAATATCGGGCAAAGGGCATGTAAGTGTTGTTGCTTCACCAAGATGAGCTGTGATCACTGGAACCAAACCATCTGCATTAGACAGAAAGATAAGAAATTGTTAAACTAAGGTAAAAGCACCACATGATGTGCAATAAGACCACACCACTGGAAACAAGAGGAGTCATAATTATAACAGGCATTCAAAAATCTACATGACATATTTAAATTAATGGACATTTAACTCACATCCTTGATGAAGGAGAAGCATGACCCATAACAGAATCATTTTGAGACTGTCTTTGTTTGGCCACTGGTTCAAATTTAAGTAGGAGGTGGGTTCTGATTCCTGGCATCTGATTGGTTGTCTTAAAATATACGATTTGAGGCGTTTCCAGCGACACAAGCATTTTTCTCATATAAATGTTGTTCATTGTAAGATTTTGAGTAATTAACCATGCTCTATAACATTCAAATCATTGTATATAAGATTTAAT